GGGTCCCTGTCCCAGCATCCCTGCCCAAACAGCCTAGGGACAGGTCTCCCATCCTGAGCCTCTGACAGCTCAGCTCCTGACACTGGTACCTACCTGTAAGAAGCAGGTCCCGACAGGGGTGTTCTCCTTCAGAGACACATTGTAGAAATTGCTCCTGAACACTGGCTCATTATCATTGACATCCTGCAGGGCCACGCGCACCACAGCTGAAGAGGAGAGGGCAGGGGTTCCCCTGTCTGTGGCCAGCACGGTCAGCTGAGGCTGAGGGTCTTTCTCATAATCCAGGGGGGCAGCAGTGGTGATGATACCTGTGGCAGGGTCGATGGCAAACCAGCTGGAGTGGGTGTCACGGCCATGCACGATGCTGTACCGCACCTCCCCGTTGGGACCCTGGTCCTTGTCACGAGCTGTCACCTGCAGGACAAAGCTGCCCGGGTACACAACCTCAGGGATACTCTGCTTGTACTCCTGCTGGTCAAAGAGTGGAGGGTTGTCATTGACATCCATCACCTGCAGCACAAAGGCTGATTCTGCCCGGAGCGGGGGTGTTCCTGAGTCAGTAGCTGTCACCCGCAAATCATAGGAGTCTCTTTCTTCTCGGTCCAGAAGCTGGTCCACACAGATCAGGTAGATTATGTTGTCCTTGGTAGTGAGGGCAAACTTGCCATCCCCTCCCTCCAGTGTGACGTTGACATTGGAGTACTCGCCATAGTCTGGGTCGGAAACAGAGATGCGAGCCACATACTGGCCAGGCTGGGCCCCCTCGGAGATCTGAGGGGACCCGTCTTCACTCAGGAAGATGATAGTCATGGTGGGCTGGTTGTCATTGTAGTCACGTACATGAATAGTGACAAAGGCTGTGGTGACCTCAGGATGGACGGCCTTATCCCTTGCCTGCACCACCAGCTCATGCACTTTCCTCACTTCATAGTCCAGACCCTTGTTGAGCTTGATGACTCCAGTCCGGGAGTCAATGATGAAGTACTGGTCAGGATCGCTCTGCCGCCGGTTGATCTCATAAATCACATCCCCATTGTCACCTTCATCTGCATCAGAGGCAAAGACCTGCAGGATGCTGCTGCCAGGTTTCAGGTTCTCTGAGATCAGAGTATGATAGCGGCTCTGGTTGAAGGTAGGAGCATTGTCATTGATGTCCTGGATGGACACATCCAGCGTCATCTGGGTGCTCCGGGGAGGAGAGCCACCATCATAGGCTTCCAACAGCAGCGAGTATGATGAACGGTTCTCCCGATCCAAAACGTTGCTGACCACTAGGTCCAAATACAGGACCCCATTAGGCCCTCGGCGTGTTTCTAGGCGGAAGGCCTGCCCCACATTGTCTCCCTTAATCACATAGCCTTGTGTGTTGAGCAGGCCGCTGTCAGCATCAAAGGCTGGGTCCAAGGGAAACCTGCTGCCAATGGGTGTGTGCTCTGGGATCTGGAAGGTGCTGTGTTGTTTGGGAAAGGCTGGAGCGTGGTCATTGATGTCGTTCACTTGGATGTTAACTTCCACCGTGATGCCCTCTGGGGTGACAGCTATGAAGCTGTAGTGGTCCCGAGTCTCCCGGTCCAGGACACGGGCTGTTTTGATGATCCCAGTGTTCTCGTCTATCCCCAGGTCGGTGGTGACACCGCTGCCCTCCTGCGCTGAGATGAAATACATGTAGGCACTAGTCCCAGGGGGCAGGCCAGCACTGATGTCCCCAATGATGGTGCCAGCTGGCTGCTCCTCGTCTATTTGTAGATCCAGGGTGCCCAGGACGGCAGAGCCCTTCCCTGCTCTCAGGCCCCCAAGAATCAGCAGCTCCAGCAGAAGCACGGCTGACCCCTTCATCTGCTCCATCGCCAGGGACTTGCTGAGCAGAGGGTGGCTCGACCTCCTTTGCGCTTTAATCCTGCATGGAATGCACACCAGACGATGCTGGTTAAGAGGGAGCAGCAAAGGAAGGACAGGAAAAAAAACCTGGAGAGGGAAGGCTTGCCATGTACCTGCTGCCCAGTCGCTCTGTATCACCCATCCCTTGCCAGGAGAGAAGGTGAGAACATGTCAGAGCAGAGGGTGCCCGGAGAGAAGGCCCAGGACAGCACCCGAGGTCAGGCAGGCAGGTGACACTGGAAGGGGACAGAGGGTGGCAGCCAGCACCTCTCACAAGGGCCATTTTCTACACGGTCAAACATCCTTCCCAACCACCTGCCCTCCTGGCAACACCTGGAGCAGAGTGTCCCTGTGCCTTTGATGGGGGAATAATGCATCCTGGGGGGCTGAGAGAGGCTGTCTGCAAGATGACAGAGAGATGACAGCAGCAAGCATCTCTCCACCCTGGAAAAAGCTGTTCTCAGACTGGGACAGAGCTCAACAAGGGATTGTGTTGAGGTCCCCCCCCAGCTGCACACCTTCCGGAACCATAAGGACAGAGGTGCCAAAACCCCCGTGAAGTGCAGATCTGGTGTCCCTGGAAGGGAGCAGCAGAACCAGAGCGGGTGCACATCCAGTGATCAATAAATCAGAGTGGCTGTACTGCAAGGGATGTGCCCACAGCTGGGAATGCCCAGGATTAAATCAGACAGGGCCCATTGTTTGGCCTGGTATGGAGATCAGTGGATGCCCCAAGCTGGTACCACGGAGGGTGATGGCAGTGCAGTGGGAACGCCGCTCTGAGCTGCCAGCTGCTCTGGCTCCTTCCCGGTCCCACACCCTTCACTTCGTTCTTCTTTGTCTCCTTCTCGGGGCTCCTCTCTCGCTCGGCTCCTCCGCTCCCTTTCCCCCTGCCGTGGCTTCATCTCACTGCAGTGGGGGAGGGACGGGCAGCAGGAGCGGCTCCCGTAGCAGCGCGGCTGGACCCAGAGCCTGTCACCCCCAGGGCTCTGCCCACCCTCCCTGCGGGGACTCTCGCAGCCCCGGGGCTGGTGCAGGAGCCGCAGCCCCCGCGCTCGCAGCCCCCGTGAGCGACGCTCCGTGGTCTGCAGGGATGGCGGCAGCATGAGCTCACACTTGGCCCCTCTTGAAAGCATTTGCTGCTGGTCCCACAACCACACTCCGGAGCCGCTCGTGTCAAAGGCAGGACGAAGGAACCTCCCTGCCCTGGGGGATGGAGGTGGCTGACATTGCCCGGTTTGGGGACTGAGAATGTCAGTTCTTTGGCTGGAGAACCCTACGGCAGTATTAACCCTTTCCAGGGGATGCAGGATGGTTATTCCTGAGGCCTCTCTCCCACCTCGGGTCAGCTGTTTAGATTGGCTTTCCCTGTGGAATTCCTGGGTTAGTGACAGAAAGATGAACTACAAAAAGTGTCTTCTACATGTAAAAAAGTGTTTGTTTACTTCAGTGGGCATCCAGTGTCTGAGGTCTATGGCAAGTAAATCCACACACTCTTGTACCTAACGAATCCTCATTATCTCTTGGGAAGAAGTCAAAAAAGTGACTTTTATCCCTGTGGGCTGCTGGCTGGGGTCTGCACCAACTTGGTGGGCCTCGACACATCTGCCTCTGTTGGAGCTAGGCAAATGTCCCCAGCTGGAGGAGTAACTGCACACAGCCAGAGCATGCCAAGCCGGGAAGGGAAGGGGGTCCATGTTTGTTTCTGTGCCATCCTGTGACCCAGCTGCTCAGGTCATGGGAGGGCACAGGGCAGAGGGCTTAAAGCTTTGGCAGGAGGTTAGACAAAACCTAAATAAAAAGGAGAGTGAAAAAACCAGGCAGAGGGCAGGGCTCCTTGGGGCCACCTCAGGGGCTGAGGACAGGATGAAGCTGGAAGGTCTTGGGTAGTGCCTGGAACAGATCAGGGCATACATATGGGGGAAAAAAAAGCCACCTGGTTTGATTAGTGATGTGGCTCTTGAGAAGAATGGAGTGTACCAAGGCTCTGAAGGCTGTTGGAGGGGAGGAGAGAAACTAGAAAAATGAATATGGGGAGCGTGAAGAGCAGCTGAGAACACTGGGTCAACCAGGGAACAGAAATTAGGGTCCTTGGGGTGGGAAAACGGTGATGAAAGTCCGTGTAAACTTCTCCCTTTCCATCCTCCCTGGATACCAGTGGGTAGTTTCAGAGCCAGGGAAGAGGCCAGGTTGCCAGCCTTGCCAGGGCAGGATGGGCAGAAGGCCACCCACAGAAAGATGAACTACAAAAAGTGTCTTCTACATGTAAAAAAGTGTTTGTTTACTTCAGTGGGCATCCAGTGTCTGAGGTCTATGGCAAGTAAATCCACACACTCTTGTACCTAACGAATCCTCATTATCTCTTGGGAAGAAGTCAAAAAAGTGACTTTTATCCCTGTGGGCTGCTGGCTGGGGTCTGCACCAACTTGGTGGGCCTCGACACATCTGCCTCTGTTGGAGCTAGGCAAATGTCCCCAGCTGGAGGAGTAACTGCACACAGCCAGAGCATGCCAAGCCGGGAAGGGAAGGGGGTCCATGTTTGTTTCTGTGCCATCCTGTGACCCAGCTGCTCAGGTCATGGGAGGGCACAGGGCAGAGGGCTTAAAGCTTTGGCAGGAGGTTAGACAAAACCTAAATAAAAAGGAGAGTGAAAAAACCAGGCAGAGGGCAGGGCTCCTTGGGGCCACCTCAGGGGCTGAGGACAGGATGAAGCTGGAAGGTCTTGGGTAGTGCCTGGAACAGATCAGGGCATACATATGGGGGAAAAAAAAGCCACCTGGTTTGATTAGTGATGTGGCTCTTGAGAAGAATGGAGTGTACCAAGGCTCTGAAGGCTGTTGGAGGGGAGGAGAGAAACTAGAAAAATGAATATGGGGAGCGTGAAGAGCAGCTGAGAACACTGGGTCAACCAGGGAACAGAAATTAGGGTCCTTGGGGTGGGAAAACGGTGATGAAAGTCCGTGTAAACTTCTCCCTTTCCATCCTCCCTGGATACCAGTGGGTAGTTTCAGAGCCAGGGAAGAGGCCAGGTTGCCAGCCTTGCCAGGGCAGGATGGGCAGAAGGCCACCCATGGCACTAGCAGTCCTCTGTTCCTAAGAGGTCTGCAGGCGTGGGTCACAGAGGAAGCCAACAGTGACCCCAGTGGATGCAGAGTCACCAAATCTGAGCAGCTGCTTCCAATTATCAGCTGGCTCAGCGCTGGGGGCTGGCTGGAGGGGTCCAGGCCCAGCCTGTGTAACGGGAGCCAGGCTGCCCTCCCTGGCCCTCCCACCCTCGGGCATGCAGCTCTCCTGTGAAACAAGGGGAAGCCTCTGAAGAAAGCTGCTAGCATGAGAATCTGTCCAGAGAGGTGTTTGGGGTCCAGAGCCACAGTGAGGAGCTGACAGAAGAGCAGTAAAATGGCATGAGCTGCAATATACGTAAGTATCTCCAGGCCCAGGGCTGATGGCCCAGGGCACCAGGAGAGCCCAGCCTACACTTAGCAGAGAAGTCCCATTTAGGAAAAAACAATATGGAATTAGAGAGGGAGCACTGCATGGATCCCTGCCTGCCTGAGGCACCCCTCCTCTGATGGCAGCCCGGAGGGAGGGGAGGCAGGCCCACCCGGCCCCAGCAGCCAGGCTGGGCAGAGGCACCCACTGTGCACGCCACAACCAGATGTCAGTGCTGGCTGTGCAAAAGTTCCATCAAAGCTGCAGATGCTGCTGATGCCATACCCAAAGGCTCACATGAGGGGCCATGACTCATGTAATGATGGTTTTGAGACTCCAGTCCAGATGAGGAAGGATTGAGAAGCCCATTTAATCTTTACTGAGCACCAGCCCCTGACCTGGAATATGATTTTCTCTTCTGCCTTCACACAGATCTCTCCAGAGTTTTGGATTATCTGTGCTCAGACCCAGACACAGCCCAGGCTTGCCTGCAGCGCAGCCTCGGGGCAGCAACTCCCTTTCAACCTCTGCTTAGCCTGCCACTACCTACAGCCATCTCCAAGCCTCTTGGCCCTCCCGCCACCTCCCACCCTCTTCAGTACCCTCTTGCTCACCCCAGCAAGACACACACCCTCGTTTCCCTCGGACACCAGCTCTGAGCAGTGACCAGGGGTGGAGACTGTCCTCTCAGCAGGATGCAGCCAAGCTCCACTGCATCCCTGTGCATCCCATTTCGGGGCCACACCAGGGCTTCCCGCAGGCCCTCCTGTCTCTGAAAACACTTCCCCCACAAAGGAAGCTCTAATAAAATTTCCTCACGCATTAGCCATTCCCACAATCCCAGCCCAGCCAGCTCTGAGCAGTGACCAGGGGTGGAGACTGTCCTCTCAGCAGGATGCAGCCAAGCTCCACTGCATCCCTGTGCATCCCATTTCGGGGCCACACCAGGGCTTCCCGCAGGCCCTCCTGTCTCTGAAAACACTTCCCCCACAAAGGAAGCTCTAATAAAATTTCCTCACGCATTAGCCATTCCCACAATCCCAGCCCAGCTGCAGCTCAGCACCGACCTGCCCCCCGTGCTGTAGCCCACGGCAGGGGCAGCTGCGGGGCCCCCTCTGCCCACGGCTGCCCCAGCCTGGCAGCGCTCTCTCTCCCTCAGGG